TTTAAGTACCAGCGGCTCGATGCTCAAAACTTCCGAGACCGAGCTTGTGTTCCTTTGCTCGCGGACAAGTGTGCCGCGTGTACACTTTTTCGTTCGTGTACACGTGTACATTGGTAGGGCAAAAAGAGAGAGAGAGAGAGAGAGAGAAAGCAGTAAATACATATATACAGACGTATATACGTGCAGGTATACATCGGCATCGTTCCGTGCTTTCATTCGTTCGCGGAAAGAAGTAAAGAGCTTTGTCGCCGCGGCATCAAAAGCTTGAATGACGCGACGATGAAAGAAGGAAGTATCGGTACAAGAAACTGCACAGTGAATACTGAAAAGAATATAGTCACGGGAGGAAGGCGAACGAGGGGGGTGGGGGACTGGGAGAAGGAGTTAAAAAGGAAAGGAAAAGATAGCGAAAACGGGAAAGGGAGGAAAGAAAAAAAAAGTAGGGAGTCGTAGGAGCATTGCGGGGAGAAAGCGTTGCAGGGAAAGACCGATAAAAGTTTCTGCCTCGAGACGGATATTGGAAATACGTTCTTCGATCGAACCCCGGGATCTATTAATTAATTTATCCACCGTGTTCCCGTGAAATCGAGGAAAATCTTAGCCGCGAATTTCAAAAGAAGGTCACCGTTAAGGGAACACCGATGTCGCGTGTTGTTCGATTAAATCCAATTAAACCGGCTAAAATTCATCCATCGGAGTTTGGCTAGGGACAGGAGAAAACATAAGCGTGGATTACATGATTGCCAGGCACGGCCGAGTTCTAATAGCCAAGTCAGGTACGTCGGATTACGCTAAACTATTACGAGCCTTCAAAGCGGCAACCACGTCCTGTGTATACAGGGTGTCCCGTATAGCTAGTCCGTGGAATCACGGCGAAATGACGTGAAGCTAGGAACCGGGAGGAGAGAGGAGATGGCTGAAAAGCCGTACCCGCGCCGCGGCAGCGTATGCAGATAATCGGTACAAAGGCTTTCGTCGAATGACAAAGGAGAGCACTGGCCAGCCCCGTGGTTCTCCTGCATCCATGTATAGATGCGACGTCCGTGTATAAGCGTGCATACACTCGGCCAGGTATTATTATAGTGGGTGGCAGGGTGCTGCTACCGCGAGAGCCTCACTTTCGACGGCTTTATTCCGATCGTTCAAACGAGACGCGGGTTGCATCGCATTGCCATACCTCGGACTTTCCTCGTGAATTAGAAATAAGGCTTCGAGGGGAGGCAACGTAAAAAATAGTGTAATTTGAAGAGGAGGTACACGGTCCTTCCGTCAGAATGCAACATCTTACTTCGATAAAAGTCGCGGAAGTCTATTAATCACTGGGGCGCATTGTGACATTCAACCGAGAAGCATTCAGAGTTTCAATATTATCGATACTCAACAGCGGGGCCAGCATCCGCGTCTATTGAAAGAGAGTTTATCAATAGAGAGCAGGACACTCTTGCTGTATCCGCCTGTAAAGCGCTCTAACCTCGCGTTCCTTCCTTGCGCGACCTTTCGCGAACCATGCCCGCCTCTAGACGAGGATTTTTCCCTCGCGTTTAACCGAGCTTTGATTAACGCATCAGTCCCAAAAATGGAAGAAGCTTTGGGAAGATTAGAGGAAAGAATAGGCAAGAAAATCGTACGCTTATATTCATCTTTACCAGCGATTTGACCAGCTAGGCACGTACGATAAAAAAGGATCTTCGAGGTATCAGAAGAATGAAAGTGCTTTAGGTCGGTACGATTAAGAGGATTTTCGAGGACAGCCACAATTGGGCGAGACAAATATTGTTCTTCCTTACATTCAACTTCGATTAAGCTTAAGGGTGAAGAATATCGTCCACATCTGGGCCACCACTTATCCAATTATAAACGACCTTAATAAATACCCTATAGTGTCCGTCAAGTTTCGATAGATTCAGGACTCGGTAATCAGACACCGTTCTCTTTCTTTTCCCTGCTGGTCCATCACTTTGATCGTCCATCAGCCATTCTTTCAACGTAACTGCCAACGCGATTTCCATGCGACGTCCCGATCCGCCATTAATCTAGTCAGAGTACAGGTGGAGAAAAAAATAAAAGGAAAGCTCAAACGAATTCGCGGGATGCACGGTTTCCTGACCAACAGACAGACGATTCTCTCCACGGTCCAGTTAGACGATACGGAATTAAGCTGGAAAGTACTCGGCGAGTACCGGGACGCTGGTTATACCGGGCCTATAGAGCTCTAAACAGCGACAAAAGGATACCGAGTGGGCGACGAGCATTGAATGTACGAGAAAGGATTGTATGCCAGCGAACGCTGCTGACGATGGTAGCGACGTCGTTTCTGTTGCTCTTCCCGTATACGTACGCGTCGCGTACGTATGTATGTGGCCTGCTTTCGCGTGTATCCGTGCTACCGGCAGAAAAGAGGAGTATTTTAGCCCGCGTCCATATGAACGTAGTAGGGACGAAACAATGTAGCTTTTGTGCGAGAAAGAAACGGAAAAGCCAAGCCAAAGAGAGAGCCTAAGAGCGATTGAAATGCTCGAACGTCTGTCTCTGCTTCCCTTACCCTCCCTCTTCATCCCGCACCCTCTTTATCTGTCCCGTTTTTCTCGTATCGTCTTTGCTATCGCGTCTTTTTGCACTCTAGGTTGTTTCTTCCTTCGCGATAGTCGACTGCAACGAAGGGTTGCAACGGGAAGATCCATCCTGAGACTTATCCTTTTCACTCGACCAGCCTTGACCTTGCGACTACCCCCAAAATCATCGATGACAGAGGAGATCCTTTTCGGGGATGACTCGAAAAGTCAAAGCGAGGGGGTGTATGTTAGCTATGGTGGGGTTGTATGTGCAAGGACGGCGAGTATTGGTAGACACAGATGCGAAGGGTGGTTGCAGGTTGATAGTCAAGACTGCCTTCAGATTCCAGAGTGAAGCATTGTGTCCCGAACGCGCATTGTCCTCCCGTCACCGGGAACTCGACAATGCCGAGTCCGTAAGTTAGTAACCCTACCGTAAAAACTTATCTCCACCCCAAACCATCGACCTCCAGCCTCCGTGATTCCTCCGTTCGATTTCCAACCTCCTCCTGCCTGCTCTTCCGCTTTTCCGCCCTGCATCGCGACTTCCACTTTTCCTCTTCCTACCATCGTTTCTACGAATGATCGAACGGAATGAGTTTTTGATCATATGTCGATCACGTAATTACAATAATCTTCTCCTCGAGAAACGTTACGGGAGGTTAAAGTTTCGACAGCATTTGTAACGTAGAATAATGAGAAGCACCGTCGAAGAAGTCGATGGTCAGCGAACAGCGAGGCACTGTCGGATCGGAAGTGAACGTCCTGGGGACCGGATACAAACATTAGGGGTTGGCGGGCGGTCCTCTCGTTGGGACTCAAGTTGCCGAGCAGCCGGACAACGCGTGGTCGCCGGACAAAGCTCTTCTAATTGTCCCCATCAACGACGAAGAATGGACCGCGGGCCTGCCGCTGACAATTTCATTTGTAATTTGCATAAGGCTTATTAAAATCACAATGGACCTGGACCCACGGGGGATGCTCGATCGAGGTGGCCGGCAGCCTTCTTTTTTTGGCCTGCTCGATAGAGAATAATCACGGTCACCGCTGCGACGGTAATTGAACTTTAATAAGCAGCCGTACCTCGCTCCGAACGCTCGTATCAGCTAATCAAATGATCGCGTTTACGACAAACTTACTTTTAATAAACAGGTTCATCCAGTGCGCCGGCTTATCGGTGATCGTATCCAAAGGACACTCGATACACTATCACACATTCTTGTTTTTTATCAACTAAAAATAACCACTCGGGACATCAACAGCAATGAAGCAACATATTATTTATAGAACCAAATTGGTTTAAGTAAAAAGAAAGATATGTAAATAAAGATTGCAAAATCGAGAAAATAATAAAAATGATAATGAAAAATGATTCACTGGTACTTTTATCCGGACAGGATTACCCGTTTCCCGAAATGTGTCGCGCACGTGAAAGACGGCGCGGAACTGAACCGTCTCAAAACGCTATCATATCGCGCGCCGCCTCGTTCCCCCACTACTTTTCTACCAAAATGCGTCGACGCATCTTTTATTCCTATCGCTATGAAAATCTTGCACGATCGTGAACGAAAATTATTTCACAAGCGCAAATAAAAACCCATCAACCGATGGTCTGTACGGCAATCAACGCGTTAAATAGATTTTTAATTGAAATATTAAAACAAAGGCAAAGGATAATTTATTTTTTTTTTATATTCCTTTCGTATTTTTCATATATGACACAGAACGAATATTCAAACGTTTAGAATTAATGCCTAACTCTAGGACAGCTGTTTTCCAAAACACAAACGCCCACGCCTTTATCTCGCACGTATCCCTCTTCGCAGATGCAACCACTCACGCAGTTCTTCGTTTGGATACAAGGCACCGATTCCCAAATGTCAATGTTGTCGCAATTTTTTTCGCAAAAATGATCCGCCTGGCATGGACTGTAAACTTCGTTCTCCCTGCACTCGTCATCGTTAACGTTCACCACTTCCGGTCCTTAGAATTTGAAAAAAAATTATATCGTACAACGGAGCACAAGGCATTAGAAATTAATTCATAAAAATTTCCTATTTTTTTAAAATAAAAAATCTGAACTACTTACTAAATAAAATCCCTCCAATTGCCACGTCCAAAAGGACAAGTATCAGAAAACTTGAAACGAAAATGTAACGCGCTCGTTTAAGCTCCATCTTGTTGAAGTATCACTGAACAAATGCGAGCAGTGATCGAGACTGCAAGTTTAAATACTCGCGAATGCAACGCGATATTCAAATCGCATTGCGCTATCAATAATCACCTAACCAGACCAGTTTTAATCGGGCAAAGGCAACGTTCTATGAACGAGGAAAGTAGCGCATCGGGGTGATAAAAAAAAAAAAACAAAGAGAAACAAGTACAAACAATCGCAAATATGCAGGCAAAATAATCGCGCATGCATCGAATAAGAAGGTAAAATACTGGTTTGCCGTTTTTCGTGTTATGTATTTTTGCGGATCTTTGAATTGTACAGCAACTCGTTTACATACAACATATATAAGTGTCTTACTAGTAAATTACTTGTAATGATACCTTAAAATAAGTATTCGTAATAAAGGGCCGGGCCGTGAGAACGTGTTTCGAACTAAAACAGTATGGAGAATTATCCGAATTTGGATGGTTCTCGACACGTTGGTGGGAGGGGGGGGAAAAAAAACTATTTTCCTTACTAAAAAGAAATGTCTCTTCTTCTTTACGATGATGAGTCGCGATTTTTATTAGGTTTCACCGGAAAACGATATGACATCCGTGGAAATTCATTACAAAGCTTGTACCGTCCGTATCTTATCAAGCGCAGGAGTTAAAAAAAACGTGAGGTGTTTCAATCGTGAAAAATCGGATCGCCGATAGCTAGGGGCGCGAAGAAAATTCATGAAAATTCCTCGGCAAACTTCTTAAACTGAACACGGTTGAACTTCATTTTTCTGACGTTTGAAACAGCAACGAATGTACAAATTGACTCCTAGTTCCTGATAATGAATGATAATGAGAAGCCACTCACGTACGCCAAATACTGCGACCAAATACTTCCCTTCGAAAGTGCACGTCATAGCAGAAGGTTCGCTCGCTCTCTTCTCTAGCTTTTAATACTTACACGACGAGTTTCGTTACGACGAGAGAAAAACAAATGCTACAATGCGAGAATAATAAGTACTAGAGTCGAAAGTTGTGTATCTTTTCGTTAACGATTAAAAATTAAAAAAAAAGAAAGAAAGAATGAAAGAAAGAAATCGAGAGTGCTCGTTTGCGACACGAGTACCCGACGAGACGCTCGCATTTACACGCACCAACCACGGGTGATATTTAACTATATAAGATTATTTATGGGCGAGCATGACAATCGAGCGAAACAAGCCGAATTACGTTGGTGTCCAGCGAAAAATATTCACGTAACGATAGGCGTTCGTTGCTGGCATTCATGAATAAAGTTAAAAGTTTAAAAATTAAGAATAAAAGTAAAGTAAAAGCTGTATTTCTCTCGACTGTCACGACTTCGGTTGTACATTTCTTCTTCTACCATATACACGTTATTAGCATCCCTCTCTATGTTCTTTCAGTTTTACACATATACCGAAAACAATCGGTACCGAGAATTAATAAGAAGTCTATGTCTCACGTGATCCGGTCGATGTTTTATGTTGAGGAAAAGTAACTATATCACAGACGAAGGAGAAGAATCGAAGAAGCAGCAAACGGCAACCGTGGTTTTCTACCAAATCTTAGCAGCAAGGGCTCTCTGCATTAATACATTCTTGCTTCGCTGCTTCATGCGCTCAATGAAGTACTCCTTGCCTTCCAGGTTATCCTCGACAGGTCCAACCTCCTCATTCTAGCAACAAACGAGAGTTAGTTGGCTCCTAAGTCGCATGTTTTTCTTGTACGTGTGGCTCATCACCATCATCATCATCACCATCATATCCTCATCATTTTACTCCTCATATTTATCTCATCATCCGGATTATCATGATCGTCATCACGAGAAGATAGGCTGTTCATTCGCGAAAGCCTACACAGAAGAGACCTAACCAACCTTGTTAGCAGTGTCGCCCCCCTCGCCCTCTCCCCACCTCTCGTAGTCATCGTCGTCCCTTTCTTCGCCTTCGCTCAAAGGTCCGTCTTGCCTTTTGCTGGGAGGTACGTTCGATCCTCCGCCACCCTGTTGATGTTCCATTACGTCGTCGCCACCTTCGAGCATCTTGTTGATCTTTTCCTTCGCTTCGTCGACTTTCCGCATCGGATCGGGGGAGTAGCTACGGTCGCTGTACCGATCGCGTGACGCGGCGCGGCGATCTCTGAAGTCTCGTCTGTCCCGGAAGTCGCGGAAGCCCTGCTTACCGTGGAAGAACCTACCGCCACGGTTACCGCCGCGTCCGCGTCCGCCACCACGGTTATTGAAACCACCGCCGCGTCTGTTCCCGAAACGATTGTTGTGCTGGTTGTTGTAGAACCGGTTACGATTCTGGAAATTGTTACCACCGCCACGATGGTTCGGGTTATTGAAGCCTTGGAAACGAGGCTTGTAATAGGTACCGCGATTATTGTACGGTCGGAATTGTCTCTTCCGATAGTAACTCCTGTCCCCGGATCTGCTGCGGCTACGACTCCTCGTGTACGATCTAGATCGTGACCTGGAACGCGACCTGCTGTAAGTGCCCGAAGGAGATCGACTGTACTTCCTTTCGTAACTGCCGGATCTTCGGTTCGAATACGATCGGGAACGGCTTCTTCTGGGCGAACGGGATCTCGAGGAGCCTGAACTGGACGCGCTGCGAGATCTGCTACGCGAACGTTTCGCTGGACGGTCTCTGCTCATCCTCTTCGTCACGGCTCCACCTCTGCCACTCGATTCCCGTTTCTTAGGCGTCTGTCTGTGCTGTCTTTCGGTCTCACTGTCAGAATCTGTTCTAGGTCCCTTCGCCTGGCTTTGGTTCTTCGTTGGCGGAGGTGGACGCGGTGGTTCTGGTGGATGACCAGCGCCACTGTTACCACTCTGCCCAATCGGTTGGAACTTGCCACCAAGATTGTTACTAGAACTGAATTTAGTAGGCGTTGCTTGCGGCACGGATATCGAGGGATCTTTGTACGACTGGAATTTATTTTGCGGCTGCGGTGTCGGATATTTCACCGGTGCTTGCTTCGGCATCGGTGGTTCTTTCGGTAACGGCGGCGGAGTTGGAGCCAACATTGGTTGAGCAGCGGCCGCTCGCTTCTCCGCGAGTTCGCGTTGCATCTGTTTTCGTATGTTCATCGACTTCTCCAAAGCTGCGCGCTGCAATTTCTCCTCCAATTCATTGTCGTCGTCTTCGTCGCTATCTACATTGGGTTGCATTTTCTTACTTTCCTGAGATACATCTTGCCATTTTTGTGGAAGGACGTCCTTTTGTCTGTGAATCAAAAAAGAATATTCAAATAGTAACATCCATTTAATTATACCACGACTTAGCATCGGTACTTGAAGTGGTTCTTACCTTGCGGCTTGAGCAGCCTTCCATTTCGCATTTAGGGCAGCTGTGTCCAAGGTTGGTAATTTGGGTTCCGGATGGATCAACTGAGATTCTTGCTCAAAAATGTCCGTCAGAGGCTTCCTTTGGATTTCTGTACAGACATTGATAATTAACTCGTATGCAATAAATATATACGTACCGTTGCTATTCGGCAACCAATTGAAAATCTTACCCTTACGTTGCTGTGCGGTCATTGGTACCCTAGCTTCCCGTTCGTGGTACGCCTTCGAGGCCTCATCTCTCTCCCTCTCCCTTTCTCTGCGCAGCTCCTCCTCCCTTCGTGAGCTCTCAGCGAGCTTCTCCGCGTTGCTAAGAGGGGAAGCTATGTCATTATACTGAGCTACATACCTAGTAAATATAAAAACATAAATAAAATACGAGATGTTAAAAGCCGCGTTTCCTTTCAATATATGTTCAAAACTTAAATGAATCGCGAGAAACTTAGCTAATGGAATGAGAATGGAACTTGACGTTAAACGAAGAAAAAAAAAATAATACCTGCGCTACCGTTCATTACGTATTACCCAGACGTACGAAAATATTTCAAAAAAATCAAAAACAAGAACAAAACAACATCGTGAACTGGCCATAAGGGTTCCAACCTTTTCAAAACAGCAGTTTCTTTTTCAACTTTCGCATAATACGCATTCAGTTTCGACTCCAACTGTTCTAAATCCGGTAACGAAGATTTTTTCAGGGCTTCTAAGTCTCGTTCAAGTTTGTCTTTATTTTTGCGTTTCTTTCTCTCTTCCTTCTTCTTCTTCTTCCGGCTTTTCTTGTCTTCTTTCTCTTTGTCCTTGCCCTTCTTTTCTTTCTTCTTCTTTTTCTTCATCTTTTCACTTTCTGAATGTTTCTTTTCCTTCTCCCTTTCCCTCTTCCATCTAGCAGTTTCCTCCAAGAATTTCCTTACCTGTGGTACACACAAATGAAACAATATTTAACCTCATATAATCGATAAAAATAAACTGAAATCCACTTCAGAAAATACAAAATGCTTACCTTATCTTCGTAATCTGAGTCGTCCTTTGTTTGCTCCAAGAATTTTCGTACTTTTATCTCGTAATCATCCATCTTATCTCGAGTATTTGTACCGTAAGTTACCGGGGCTATGACATCGTGCGTAGCTGTTGCAGCAGCCGGTGGATTGTTGTACTGAGCCATACGTTTGCTAAGAGGCGAAAGCGACGAGCCACGATGATCCTTCTTATGTTTTCGTTTACGACTAGGCGACCTTGATGCCGATCGCGAGCTTCCGGACGACGAAGAGCTACTAGATTCAGAGCTAGAGGAACTCGAGGATCCGCTCGATGACGAACTGGAGCTCGAACTCCATCTCTGCCTTTTCTTCGAACGCGATTTCCTTTCTTTCTTGCGTTTCTTCTTTTCCTTCTTATTCTCCCCAACGTCATTCTCGGCCTCGAAACTCTTGAACGTGTCCAGTGGATTCAAAGTAGACGTCAATGTTTTAGATTTGATGTACTCGATTGAGTTCCTGGCTTCTTCGTGGTACGGAGCAATTACCAAGCAGTTCTCGTACGCTTTCTGGGCTTCTTCGTACTTCTTCTCGTCCTCGTAACTTCGACCCAGAGCGACCAGCGTCTCGGCCATGTATTTACGCGCGTTTGCGTGAGTTTGATTCAGTTTCAACGCGGTCTCAAAATCGTCGATGGCTTTCTTAAAACTGCCGCTGTTAGCGTATCTGTAACAACAACAAGAGTACACGTACAAGATGAGTCAGCATGAGTGGACGTATTTTTATGGACGAGTAACTTACAATGCTCCACGAGCAACCAATCCCTCGACGTTTCGCGGATCTACGGTCAGCGCTTTGTTCAAGCACTGGAAGGCTTCTGTATGACGGCCAGCCTTGAAATGATCTATACCTTCGGCCACACTTCGGAACGCCCATTTACTGGCCTGAGCTTGTCTCAATTCGGACGCATATTCATTTGGAGGGAATCTTTCTCTGTAAAGAAATTATTTACAATTGAGAATTTCCTTAAGAATTTGATAAGAAAATTTTACCGGATACTCGATACTGTACCTCAAACCAACCATATTGGAATGATTCTCTTGACCGAGACCCATCAAGTCGCAAAGATATTTAATGTTGTTTGGGTTGTTGAAGCCAGTACTATTCTCCAACATCGCTTCGTATGACTGTCCTTTGTTGTCCATCGCTTTCCTATACCACAAAAGAAAACGGCCAATTATCAACGTGCAAAGATCCTTTTGACCTTTGCCAAAAAGAGGATACCAAAGCTACTTCGTTAACGGCAAAACTAAAGACTTGATAATCATGACGACCGAATCATCGCATATCATGGTCTCACTTCCTGGCGGAGGAATATAATTTATATATATATATATACACATATATATCTTCATTCGTTTGCCCTTCACAGTTTTTTTCGACATCTTGTCGTTTTATCTACGTTTCCTTCGTGCTGCTGTTCCTTATGAGTCAACGTGCGGTACGGCACAACCCTTCCTTATACCATCTTATCATCCCTGCGTAAGAATTTCGCCTCTTCACTTCGATCCGCATGAATTATACAGCGATACCACCTCTAATACCAAAGATGCTTCGAAAAATAAGTAGCGGTTTTTCTCGATTGGAAAAATAGAGAAAGATCAACGAAACATCTCGTGGTACTAGAGGAGATCAAAATCTACGTTTGTACCGTTAACAAGCAGCAGGGGTACAAAACAGGGATACATTGCAGAAAGTTGGTAGGTTTTCCTTTATTACCAGTTAAATTTCTTATTTATAAATTTACAATGGTACACAACCTCATTATTATGTAAACTCGTCTCTCACCTTTCATGTACCGCTAAGACGTATATTTCTAGTATTTTGTATCATGTTTGTAATCATAGGATTTCTCAACACAAAAGCACACAGCCTATCATCGATCGACGGTGGTTCGGTTTTTATAAGTTTTTGGTGCGATAAAATAAATTGCATAGCCCTAGGATAGGTTGGGAGCCACGCCTGAGTATATTTTATCTTCCAAGTTGACCAAAAAAATATATAGTTTTTATATGTAGTAGTAGGTACTGTCGCCTGTTTTGCATTTTTGTGGTGTCAATTCAAACATGACATCATTTTTTTTTTTATATTTTTTATTTGTCAATTTAAGCTGTAAGTTTAAATGAGGCATTATTATGACAAGGCGCAATTCTTTTGAGGCTTAAAGGTAAAGGTTCGGGCGATTAAGATTCCAGTTATTTGGTCTCTACATCAAATTTTAATTACATTCAAATTCCTATGTCTTATTCTATTTGTTACTTTAATACAGATGAAAAATATATCAAACGACTTAACAGGTAACTTCGCTATATATTAAAATGTTTGTACGATAACTTATTGAGCGCATAAAAAACATTTTAATAAGGGCGCTTATAAAATAGGTTCGCTTCATTTTTTCATTACTTTCATTCGTTTCGGTATATTTATCGATCGTCTACAATAAGAGACCAAACAACAATAAATCATTATTATACCTACCGTCTGCAGCACTCACTCTGACCACCCAAGGCTCAACATCTCATACTGGAAATGCAACCTCAAAAGACATTGATGTCATTTGGCGCCATTGTTTGGCTGGTGCTTTGAGAGTAACATATCACAAACGTAGATAGAATATTGTGCGCAACAGAGCCATGTCAACCAATGCTCAAGGTTTGAATCATTTGTATCACATTATAAATTCATCATCATACTGACTATCAACTTTTACGTTACTGAGAGTGTCTGGCACCTAAATTCATAAAAACGTGTAAGAGGAATCAAATCTAATTTACCTTGTTTTGTTAGTATCACAGTGCGTCTGTTAAATCTCAACTTCTTTTGGCCACCATTTTCCTTACCTTTTTATTTATTTATTTTTTTTTATTTTTAAATGAAAAATATGAAATAAAACACTAATGATGCAAATCTGTACTCTCACTTATTATGCAAGTTACAAACAAGATAACTACATTGTCGATAGAAGATGCATTTCGATCACGATCGAGATCATTATTTTTATTATCGATCCTAAATTCGAAACTACCACTGTCAGAAAATATTTCCCCTGCCTTCGTTAGTGCACAAGTGCTCTCAAGGTATATCGCAATAAGCAAACGGTCAAAGGACGATTTGTAATTCAAATAAAAAGTCTCAATCAAAAGTGCTATCAATGCATCACAAGACACTTTCACCGTTTTGTATCGTGTATAGAAAATTTCCTATAGTGATATTACATGTCAGTTTACAAAAGTTAGTGAAGCATTATGATAAATACAAGGAATAAATATACTTATCCAGATTTTTCGTTTACTTACTTATAAGCTTCCGGAAGATCATCCGAATGGATAAGTCCCATAGGTGGGTGTGGGGCTTGCCCTTCACGGGCAGGTACGTTCATAACTGCAACAACTCGCTCAGCTTCAACGTTAACTTCACTGACTACGACGCAGATGAGATCATTTGCCATGTAGCCTCTTGTAACACCTTTCTTGTCCACCGCCGGCACTGTGGCCGTGTTTAATATCAGAGCCTATTAAATAAACGATATCGTTTTATAAACAGCTAAAAGAATGCAAACAATAGGAACGCGAGAACGGTAGAGACCCCTTGATGTACCTTAACTCCTAAATCAGTAACAACCCTCGGGCAGTCGCTGCAGTTGCAAAGCACCTTCAGAAGAAGCCCAGCAGCACTTTTACCCATAACTTGCGCGTAAATAACATCTCCAACGACCAAACTCTGGAAATAAATAGCTTGTTATAATCTTAATCAAATTCTGTATTTTAGAACACAACCTTAATATAATCAATAATCACCTCCAAAAAATTTCGTATACGCTGAGACTTTTCCATGGTAACAAAAGTATCAAGGCCTGGCATTGTTGCATAAAATTCTGAAACATTAGAGGCAATATATCAGTTGCACGTCGTTGTGCAATAACTCCCCCCTCCCTTGATCTAAGAAACAGAAAGTATGTAATACTATACCTTCATCTCCTAATTCTTGCTTGAGAGGTTCAACTGTTTTCTCCAAGTTTGCCTTATCATAAAGGGCATCTGCCTTCTTTGCAAGGAATTGCTGTAGCTTTAGCCTTTTTCCTCTATCTCCAAAACTGTTTTGAGAAAAAAGAAACAGAAAATTGAGAAGTCTAATCTGGAACAGGCCTGATGTTATTAAGCATCATTAAATATATGTACCTAAGTGTTTTCTGACGCTGTTGGTAGATCTCAAAATTTGGTTCCTTGAGATTGAGCATGGCCAGCTCATTCTCGTTGCGTTCTCCCTCCCACACTTTCTGCAACTGTTGGCCATGGTAGTTCAATGCTTGCGCCACAAGACGCGCATCCATTGATTCCATTTTGATTCAGTACTGCAAGCAACCTAGTCCTGCAATACTATGAAAATCGGCGGATTCGTAACGGTTTTCCTTCTTTTCATCAATATCCAAGATATTTTCCAAATATAGATAAAACTTTTAACAGCTGTCTCTGACCGACTGCCCGAAATTGGCATGCAAAAAAGGACATCATCCAACAGCCAAGGACACGTGTTTGTAATGGATAAATCACTCTCCACGGTGATATCCAGAAAATACTGGTATTTCAATCGTCTAAGGTTTGGTTGAATTGCTAGCGGTAAAAATTGTATCGGTCTCGTAAAAACCGCATTATCATTCTCCAAAAAAGGATGCTTTTCTGCGCAAGAATGCGCTTAAACACAAAGCGAATTACCAAGAACCGGTTCTCTGAACAATTTACCTGCAGCTGCTGATATTCCTCTGTCGATTCGTAACAACGACGTAAAAGAATAAATCCGTGAAATATTCTTTTATATAAGAAAAACGCTTACATAGGAGGAAAGGCGCGTTATATTGATTTATCGATAACAAGATGGTCGTCGGGAAGCCGGATTGCGAAGGCTGATGGCGCCATGACGCTCCAAATGGCCACCTCTTTTTATCCAAAGCTCATCCACGCCCATTTTTTTTCGTGGGCATGCCAGACGGGCCAAAAAAGAACCCGGATTATTACTTACCGTTGTTCTCGTTTTATCTTCCGACGATCTGTTAATGCGTTTTCCAATTATATCACGGTCCACTATGCAACATCGTCGACGGTTAAACAACTGCGCGCTTCAGTTTCACCCATACGCTGCACAGTCACGATTACAACAGAGCCGGAAACGATAGAGTCGGAAACGCTTGCGTAAATCGACTTACCCCCACCCTTCCTGTAAATATCGACCTGTACGTCACTTCCGTTTAGCGGCAAATTTAAACTCCTATTTCTGTTATACTACAGCATATCTGCAGCTGATGTAATGTTTAATATTATAACATTAATATTGTTAATGACTTGTATCGTGTTGTTGCAGTTAAAGCATAAATGTAACCACTTAAAAATGTAAAACCTAAGCGTAATTTTTTCTCGCATATATAAGTAACAACGAATACAATTTTTACAGCATTTTTATTTTCATTTTTTGTATAACAAAGGTTGTTAAATTAGTAATAAGTTATCATTTAAAAAAGTTGTTCGTATTATTCTATAATAAAATGGTAATATTAGAAATGTTTGAAACAATTTAGGAAACAATATTTGGAACTAAGTTTAACTATTCCCCATTGGAATACTATTAATTTGAATATGTTTGTACTTTCTTCAAGAAAGCAAGTTTCATTTAATCTGATACTCCCAGTACCAGAATACTAGAAGCATTTATTTTTAATCATTTATGTATTTCAGTTCGTCGTGTTATTCTCAAATTTAGCACCGACAGAATAGCAAATATTTACTAATTTATTTATCGAATCTTCTTTGCTTTTTCGTTGCTCTTCACATCCACGTTCCAGTAGTACAATATTTGAGCAGCTATCACAGCATTTGCAGCAGTAGAGCATATGTACATTATCACCATTGTTGTGTCTCCTGTTTCTTGAATAGAAGTAAATATTCTTGCCAGAGATCCAAAGAAGAGCATGAACCCAGTTACTGCTGACAACTGACCGGTACTTCCATTGGAATAATTTGTGTAAGCTTGCATCAACTGGAAATAGAGTAAAATGGTTATAGTCTGTTATTTCTACTGTCACTGTCTTGATTTTTAAACTTCGTACCTTACTGATAAGTACAATGGGTATATTCATTGCTTGACAAGCCCAGAGAACATTTACTGGGGTCACCCCACTTGTAGCAGCGAATAGAACTGCTAAATAAGCAGCAAGAAATGCAGTTGCCTGAACAGTGTTACCACTGAAATGCATTACTAACACTGCAATTGCTAGGGTTTGTAATCCCAGGAATACTCCATCTCCCCATGAACTGAAATACATCAATTGATTAATCCATAATGCAGCTGAATCTTAACAAAGGTGCTTTTATTTCTATAATTGTATTACCTAAATGGAAAACCGCTAATGAAGCTATAAGATACCATTGCAGTAATGGCAAACAAATCCAATAAGACGCTGAAAACATTGATGCCTTCTGCACTTTTGCTTTTAAAGATTTTTACAATCTGAGGTACTTTAACTAAAATGAAGAAATCATTGTAAGAAAAGCAATGTTAGACTAAAACTTAATTATTTAAATAATTGTACAAGGAAATATATGTGACTTATTAATGTTTGAAATTATAATAAATAAAAAATTATGATCACTGAAATAAAGATTAAATAATTAAACAGAAAATTTTATTTAATAAATTTTCTAACCGAGGAGAGACCCGCCGATGATCCCGAGGCCCAAACCTTTACTCAGCGTTGCTTTGAAACATCCAACTGAAACACGTTCAAGATTTTCATGTTTTACATGCAATGGTTCATATCTTCTTCGTAGGATATTCATTTTAATTTGTATATGATTCTATTTTATCGTAACGGAAGGATAAGGACTTTGAATTTATGATCGGGGAAAATAAAAATTGAACATCATCGAGTACCCGTTGCGAATATATCGAATCGATTACTCGAAAATTTGTTAAACTTATTTAATACTCGGGGGAAAATAAAAATTGACATTTATCCATGACGTAAGAATATTAGTATTCAAAGAAAGTACATTATACTTTCAAATGAATCAAAGGTGATTAGAATCATTCTATGAAATGTTTCCCTTTCGAAATTGTAACTATGCACCTATTCAAATTGCGCTCATGGTGTTCACGTGATTACAATATAGCGCCATTAGATAACAATACACGAATCGAATAATGTTACTATTATAATATGACAAAAAATTCTAGTACTAGTTTTTAATCAATGAAACACGTGTACTCACCATGAAAGAAATTCAACTCGTCAAAATATTCTTCCATACATTTCTCCGTGAACAATAAATGAGCAACATTTCTTACGAACTGAGCCATGCTTGCAACGCATACGTTTCACAGTTCTCTTGTGGAATGTAAAGAATGATTTCCTTTGCTTACGTTTTATACCTTTTATACTAGCATTTAGGTTAGCATCTACTCGTTTTACTAACCTTCTATACCGACTGATAAATCGTTAGAGTACATAGTACACTTTTCGAACCATTACGTGGCGGGATGGTTCGAACAGCTGTTTATCATTGTCGCAACCAATAACATCTTAATTTTATAATAATAAAATAAGGATCTGTTCGAATTCATTCCAGTACCTAACTTCATTTCTCGCTATTTTCAAATGCTTCCTGTCAACGACAGTGACATGTTTATCCCGTGGATCATTCGTACTTTCGGAGTTTTGCCTCTATTTCCTCCCCTTTTCAATATTCCAGTAACAAGTTCACAACCATCCATATATCATCATACATACTTACCATATTCTTCCGAATGCGGTCTCACAGCTGTATTCTATGATTTCCAACAACATATACCAAATCACGTTTAATGGTAAGAAATGAAAAGAAGAGACTTTAACGATGATACGAGACCTTGACGAAGTAGAAAGTCCATCTTGGATCCGGCCCGTTTTAGGGTTCGATCCGCGATTCTCATATCAAGAAACTCTCAATCTTAAAGACAATAATTCTTGCTCGTTACTTTTATCACACGCAACGATCGAGCAAACGGAACGATCGATAAGGAAAGCGCGTAAAGATCGACCGACTTCCGAAAATAATACGACCATTGTATTTCTGGTAAGATTATCAGCGTGAAAATCGAACTCGTGCAATTAACGATAGCAGGTCGAAGTGATTCGTCAGGGCAGCTCTTCACGCGAACCAAGATGCACTCGCATAAGTAGGTCAGAGGTTGTAGAGTGGTTAGGCTAACCCACGCGATTGCTTTTGCTTCTTTACTTGCATTTGTTAGTTGAGAAGTTCCGTAGGGGTGCCTGGTACGCTCCTCCAGTTTCAGCAACCACCTCCTAACCCCTTTCTGCTAGTTTTTGGCCTCCTTGAAATTCCGTTGTGTAATCAGCACATGTTACTAAATTAATATGCGAAATGGATGAGCTAAATATTTTTGACCTTTTGCTTTATTCGATCGTGATTCCATTAGAAATTCAATGAATTATTCTCGGAATCACCACCTTCGTGTCCTTTGAGAATTTTGAATGGTCAGTCTTATCAAACTAAGGGTTGATCTAAGATCCACGAATTTCGCGACACGGTGGTAGTTATAGGTTCCAAGAGGACGCAGTCATGCGATCTTATCCAATCGGCCGAATAGTTGGGGAGGTTTAAAACGTATTCAGGGCGCACGCCTACGGAATTCTCGATTCCGAACACATACCTCGTGTCTGTCGTCGATGACGTTCAGTCGGAGTTTTGCTTCCGCCTCGTCGATCCGTCATTTGCATCAGTCTAAGGGATGCCGTTTCATGCAATTCCCCTGTCGATCGGTAATCGTTGATTAGAGATCGAAAGCTGTGTCCTCTGAATCAAAGGATGCTAACGAAAGGACATAGAAGATTCAACAGGTACTCGTAGAACATTGACGAAGAACACGGCGGTCCAACGCGCAGGATAATCTTCAATCTTAACTCTTTATTAGAAATATTTATTTAGATAATGTCTTAAGTTTTAACACGATTTTTGCAAGCTGATCCAGGATAAAGTAACGTCAACCGATTCGGGCCCATACTTCCTCCACCAACCCTCGTTGCAATGAAGCGAAGCTAAGGATCAGCGGAGTGCATCAGTGCATAAGAGCCCACAAATCTGCAAATACACTACATGAATGCGAACGATGAGGCGCCATCGAATCTGGAGCCGGCCAACGCGGAAAAAACGGACAAGAATGAAGAGGAGATCGTCGACGATGAAGCTGTCGAATCGAACGCGAAACGACTTACTGAAAACGATGGCGGGGATTCGAACACGCTCGACGGTACGATTTCAAGTATATCGCGTAATCTTCATTGATAATCGTACGTCGTGATGTCATTCATTGTTCCGTACAGAAAAAGCAGAGCTGAGTTTAGAATTCCGACCGACTCTTCACGAACGATTCATGCGAATCAAACAAATGGTCAAGGATGCCATTGCGGCTCATCACACGTTTATGATTTACGGAAAAGCACGAGTGATTCGCGAATGTATGCTGAGTAGAGGGTGGTGTGAAAAGTTCTTCAGGAAGAATTCTAATGGTACCTTGTTTAAATTCCATCCCCCAGATTCCTAGTTCTCGTACCATTAATGTATCTTCCAGGCGACCAACACTTTAACGTGAACGCGAGCCCTGTGATACTGTTGGCTGGCATTGGTGACTTGAAGGATCAACAAAGTGAACGTCAATTGATATCCAGGATGCTCACCAATCACACGGTCGACTTTCTATGGAACACAGGGTCGGAATGGCCTGGGTGGCCGTCGCAGGATAACAAAACCACGATCTTCAATAGATACTGTCGGGCAGGATTCACCTCGAAGGTAGTCGAGTGTCTCGGTCGTTTTCTATCATTCGTATAAACAACTTTTATACGATCCTCCTAGGTGGGCTTATGTTCGAATGTCAGACAAATGCATTGGTACTACGAGGCTGGAGTGGCGAACACCCTGTTTCCACGTTGCTACAATTTATGCCAGGGCGATCAGATGCACGCTTTCATCGAAGATTTTCGGTAAACAAATTACTTTATTACTAATTTACTAATTACTAATTTCTTTGTCTTTTAGATTCACAGCTTGCCTGAGCTTGCTAAAATGGTTGGTGAACAAGGTAAACAGCGAAGGCGAGAACGCAGTTAGATCGCCAACTGGCGCGGTGCCTTTGAAGGCATTAGAGTTCGCAATTAAACGTTGCAGCGATTATATCAGCGCACAGTCTCACGAGGATATCGATCAGGAGACGGAAAGAGTGTGGGCACATCAATGGGACCAGTTTATCAGCTGGTATTATCAGATCGTTCACGGCCAGGCTTCCTTCGTTCGAAACAATATACCTCTCCAAGTAAGCAGTTCCCTCTGACCAATTGTAAGGAAGTAATACCACGAGGATTACATTAATTTAGTTTGCTGTGAATAGAAAATCTTCCTGGCGTCGAAGCACATCTTGAGGAAGATGAAGAAGTATTGGCCTCAATTGGAGATGGATGGAATGATGAACGTGTGGATCATGAAGCCTGGGAACAAAAGTCGTGGGAGAGGGATCGTTTTGTTGAATAAATTGGAAGACGTGATGGCGAAAATGAACCCATCGAGTAAATCAGACACTCGTTACGTCGTTCAAAAGTATATTGGTAATCGATGGCCTTCAAAACTTAGGAATAGAAAGAATTAAAATATAAATGAAGGTATTAACATATTAATTTCATTATAGAACGACCGTTACTGATACATAACACCAAGTTCGACATCAGGCAATGGTTCGTCGTTACTTGTGCTCAGCCTTTGACCTTCTGGATATACAAGTAAATTTGAAATTATAATTACCGAGCTTAATGACTGGATGCATGCATAAGTTGAGCTAGTTTTTGTTTCGTGTTACGATTCCGTGTCCATAAAATATCTGGGTCGATTAATTGGCATACACAAGACGCACTCGTTGCAATTATCGCTAATGCACGTACAGAATAGTTTGCAACTGGGAAAAATTCTCCTCTTTGTTCTATATTTAGAGACACAATAAGGTATAATTCGCTACTTTCGAACAAACCAACCGCAGTAAATTACCGGCTCTGTACTCATCCCCCTATGAAATTGATCTTTCCTAACCCAGTTTAACTAAATGCTTCTGCTATTGTTGCTGCGTAGCCTATTCTGCTTTTTGCAGAGTAATGCTGCATGTGGTTTTGCAGAGTAATATATTTAGCACTCGGTTCACAAATGATGTACCACGAGAACAAAGTAAACAGAAATTTCAACCCTTTGTCTTTCTTTTCTTCACAGAGAAAGTTATCTGCGATTCTGCTCCCAGAAATTCAGCCTAACAGACTTCCACGAATCGATTCACCTCTGCAATCACTCGGTCCAGTGCAAATACACGAATTGCGGCGATAGGGATTCTGCGTTGCCTTCGGACAACATGTGGGATGCGACAACCTTCAAAGAGTACCTGAAGTACGATTCGCTTGAAACAGGAAGTTACGAAGTCGAGGTTTTGAAATTGATGAAATTCCGACAGGTCTCAGGGACACGAGAAAGCATGGGACGAGATTATCTATCCAGGAATGAAGCAAGGCTTGGTGGGTTCTATGTTGGCCAGCCAAGAGGCTATGGATCGTCGTAAGAACAGTTTCGAGTTGTACGGCGCCGATTTCATGGTCATGGAGGATTTCTCCGTTTGGTTGATCGAAATCAACAGTCATCCAGACATGAGTTACTCCAGCAGAGTAACGACGCGTCTCTGTCGACAAGTTTTGGAGGACACGATAAAAGGTGTTCGACGATTAACCTTAGCCTATTCCAGAGTACACTTTCCTAACTGAATTTCATCTTTCTGCAGTGGTGGTTGATTTTCGAGAGGACAGAAACGCGGACACAGGTCAGTTCGAGTTGGCTTATAGACAGAGGATGCCCAGCTGCCAGCCTTATCTCGGCGCAGCTCTATCACTTCAAGGAACTCGAATCACTATAAACGGGAAGAAGCCTTTAAGCAATCAAGACTCAAAAGTTAACCTCATGTCGAAATCTCCTATGGTACGTATCGATCACGAACGAAATTTTTCGAAAAAGAAGGCAAACCCGAATAACAAAGATTGATCGATGGCTTCAGACGTGTCTGACGAAGAAGAAATCTACGATACACAATCAGATTGGCCCGGTGATCGTCGATCTGATCGAGGAACTGGAAATTCAGCTCGACCAGGAATTCTACGCTTATTACAAAGTGGAATCGCCTAAGCTGAGACAAGCACTGCCAGCGAGCGCGCCGACAAAACCTACGAAAACTGGCGTATTGATCGATAAGCAGGAAGCAACCGTGAAGAGCGCTCCTGTGACCGGCACGACTGCTCATTCTAAGGTGAAATCGCCTACGGGGATTCAGGTAAAAAGCCGGAACGAATGACGGGTTTGAATCGTGAAATTTTTACGTTTCCATTCCGTGTTTCGCAGAACAATCAGGACAAAAGTGGGAGTAATCAGAGGAACGCGACAAGAACCCCGAGGAAATCGCGAACTTTCACTGGAACGCCGAGCAACAAAGGAACATCGTCTCCGACCAGACAATCTTTGGTTTCCAAGATTATAGCTATTCAAAAGCAGTCGTCGAAGCTGGCGCCGAAAATCGACAAATCAACGAAGCAAACCGAAGACAAGGTTGAAATACATTTAGAGACATCGAGGGGTACAGTTCCGTGTTTCACTGCCCCCAAAATAGGGCAATATATATATACAGGGTGATCCTCTCGCTAGTGGACTCAAAGGAAATGCCGCCACACCGTTATGAATGGACCCAAGCCCTTTTCTCGACGGGGGTGCATGCTGTAGCTGTGTCCGTGAAAAGGTATCGATGACAGAAAAAGGATTTGGGCCACTTCATGCTATTGTGGCGGCACTTCCTTTAAGTCCACTAGCGAGAGGATCACCCTGTATATTCTGAAAGGTCTTAACGAGTCCTGTCTAGGGATGTGCGGGTACTCGATATTACGAGCTCGGGCAGGCTCGGAAAAAATCGGGCGGGTTCGGGCGGGCGTCCAATACATTCGTGCAGTCGGGTAACGCGACTATTTCGGGTTCGGTCGGGTACAGTCGGGCGGATTCGGACGCGCTCCCGCGGGCCGCGGTCCGCGACCCAACTTTCATGTACTTGTTAATACTTATAAGCAAGTGCAAAATCTGTTTTATATGAAATTTTGGAATAAGATAATTTGGGAACTCGTCCGAATCTGCCCGATTGTACCCGACCGAACCCGAAACAGTCGGGCTACCCGACTGCACGCATCTATCGGACGCCCACCCGATGTTTTCCGAACCAACCCGACTAGTCGGGCCGTACATCACTAATCCTGTCGAATGAGTCTAGTCTCAGGTTGCGCAAATGGAGAAAATTAACCTAACCTAGCCTAACCTAACCTAATTAATGGTTAGGTCTCGCTGTCGACTATACGCCACTCAACTACTATTATAAATAGGAACTTTAAACTTCCTTTTAAGTAAAAAATACAAAAATTCAACCGGTTATAATTTTTTCATTATTCGTTTGCGCAACCTAGGATTAGGCTCATTCGATAGGACCCGTCGAGATCTATCAGAGGACATATCCTAATTTTGGTTCTACGGGCGGTGAAACATGGAACCGCAACCACATCGAGTAATTGTATCGTTGCATTCGATCAGCTTTGTATTTTCATTTTTCATTCGTTAGATTATCAAATCAGTGATGCGAGACGCGATTAAGAAGTACAAAAAGAATGCTTCTCTGTCCTCGTCATCGCCCGAAACACCCCTGTTACCGTCCCTCTTATCCACGAACAGGGTAAGTCACCCTGCAGCTGTGAAACAGAAGAATCATAACGTGTTGAAGAAAAACAGTCGTCAGAGGAAGAACAAGGTTCTAACAGACATCACCGACATGTATGCTGTTGGTTTAAGGTTGACCAAGTGATGGAGAAAGGTCTTCGTGATTCGCACTCGTTACCAGTTGTTTCCGACTATTTGTTGATCTATTCCAGAAGTCTATATTTGAACTGTACTTATGGTATACAAACAGTCAATAAAAAGCTATCCTGTCCATCGTTTATTTCGTTTAGTCAATAGAAATAAATTCACGACACCAGGTATAAAATGGGGCGAACAAAAGCTGATCAATTTTTGGACGAGAAATCATGATTTGATATAACTAAATTAACCTTTTTACAAAATTACAAGTGTAACAGACAATCAAATGGAGATCTTTATTTTTTGATACTTGTTTCTACATATTTAATGATTATTCGTGAAAAAATTAAGTGGTACACGCTTTGTCTATGTACGTTTGTCACTTGGAATGGAATGTATCGACTTCTTCTGGAATCCTGGAGAAGCTGTATCTGCAGACAGCTCTCCAGGTCTAGATAAAGATGTTCCTCCCGTCGAGGGTGATAATTTTCAGTGCACCTTTTTCCGACCAACCAAACACGAATCCGTGGTATGTAAATTTGTACAGGTTAAACTTGCGCTAAAAATTGCACAAGGAAAACCGAGTGATTACAATTGTATTTAGCAGATACTGAACGAAAATCCACCTCCATTCAATTCGTCCGATTCTGAGGTCGAATTTGACGACCCGAATATCACAACTGGATGGGCAGAAGCATCTTCGATAAATTCTGATACTTTCTATTCGTACGACGAAGAGATTTCTCAGCAGGATAACAAAGCACTCGATTTACCGAAAGTAACATTCGGTCAAACGTACATTCACTCGGACGATACGAAGTTGCAATTGGAAAAACAAGAATCAACAAAACCAGAAATTGTCCAACTGACAGAAGAAAAGAATTACCCAAAGGATGTGAACAATTTGAAAGATAAAATATCTGAGAAGGAGAAATTATTGTTAATAAAATGTGTGCATAATAATAGATACACTCACGGATTTCCAGGTAAAACTTGATCAAATTCTATCATTCAGAAATGGAGAAAAGTAATAATTTTATTGCAGACCCAAGGTATAGCTTGAACAGAACTAAAAGATCGTACAATCCAGTGAGTAGCACGAATGAAACTCCTGGTAAGAGAAGAAAGATCTTCGAAAACAGGACCAGTAAGTATAAACGTTTGTTGAAGTCCATGGAGAATGTGATCCATACGATGAGCGAGCAAGAAAGTATCAAGCCGAGGTACAAAATTGCAGAAACCAATCTGGTGAAAATGGATCCCCAAAAAGAGCAAAGTCAAAGTCAAAAGATAGTCGCGGACAATCCGCAGGCGGATGAGCTTGAAATGAGGAGACCAATCTTTAAAAAGCGCGAGTTGGAAAAGTTCTTGGATGAATCGATGCAAAGGGCGGTGAAAATGTACAGAACTTGCAGAGATACATGGAACGGTACCAACGAAGAACAATTTGAAGTATCAGAAAATTTTCCAAAGGCAAACATTTCAATTCCACGACTTTCCAAAACTGCTTCAGAGTGTAAGAATACTTGAAACTGTTTCAATTACCGTCGATCGTGAACATGTAGCAGTATCGAGACACGTTTTTAAGCAGCCGACTTCAGTCAGTTTTCGATGTTTGCAAAAGAAATTAGAATGTAAAATCCACGGACATGAATAAAATGTTAAAATTTATAAATTCATGGTTTATTATTCGATTGCACGATGCGACCGATAAAGAACTGTGCATGGAAAGTTTTCCTGGAGAATCAGGAGTCGTTCGGAAACCAAGAATCAATTATAAATTTTAACCATGAATTATCAGAGAACAAGAAGTACGATTTGGAAAGCTCGAAGTACTTGAATGGTATCAGCACGCGAAAATGGCAAATCATGTTAACCTCCGCAGATTGCACGATTAAAAAACACTGTCCCGGTTGGCAGGTACGAGAACAACTTTCGTTTTACTGATTAAGCAAGAGAATTTTCGTCGACCGCTATAAAGTGTACATTTCGCTGCATTTTCTATAAGATATATCTAAAAAACGTAAAGGGAACTGAGGGAAAAGAATTCGCTTGGAAACTGTCAGACACGAACATGAATTCTCGAGTGAACGTAGATACCGTGAAAACTGCAAACGCCGAGATACTTTGCAATCGCGATGATTTGGATGATCTGTTAAGAGAATACGAGAAACAGAACGAACAAGCTCACGGTAGGATCATCCTGAGGGACTATCTGAAGCTCCTCAGTAACGAAGAGATAAAGGTCAATTTCATCTTGAAAGTATTGACGAAAGCGGTAAATGATCACAAAATTTTCGTGATTTATGGCAATTTCCCAGTGCTGAGGAAGCCTCTAGGAAAAAGAGGGTGGATAGAAAAAAGATTCATCAGAAGATTGCTCTCCACTTCTCTGGAGATGTCTGAAGGTTACTGAACAGAAATTCCAAAGACTAATACTGAAAATAACGAAAAATATTCTTAGCAGCTGGCTTGGAGACCATTGAAAGATTACTACGATGTCCAGCTGATTTCATATGGTACACAAATAAAAAAGCAGGTGCCAGAACGGATGAAAGGACCATCGTTAATAAATTTTCAGGATGTTACTTCACGTCGAAGGTTTCTGATTTATTCTCCATCATTTATCACTTGATACTAAATGGACGAACTCTATTCAGGTCGACATGTGCAATAATTTAGAGAACGTCTGCTGGTACTACGAATCAGGTGTATCGAACATCCAGTTTCCCCGATGCTACAATGTGTATCAGGTTCGTAAGGGAACTCGATAAATCTTTCGCCTTCACGGAAACGTGTCTTGCATTTATACAGGCCGTACAGATTCAGGAATTCATTCAAGATTTCTACATCACTGCGTGCATGGGGATTCTCAAGTGGTTCGTATTATTGGCCGGCATCGCTGGACCAAATAACGCTTGGTCCTCGAACGGCACTGTCCCCATAAAGGCGCTTCTCTTCGCGCTGGAACGATGTGCGGAATACATAAGGTTCTAAAAACATCCAAACTATGACACGCCGTCACCAGAGTCCGTAACTGCGAAAAGACCAGTTTTCGTTCTTCGCGCATCTCCAGTGCGCATCTTCGCCCTGATTGGCGATACTCCCAAACGAAGTGGAAAGCGATTGGCGGAGAGCTCGCTGCGTTCCCCCACCACCTTCCAAGCTGCGAGGCTTAGTTATGGACTCTGGTGACGGCAGGTCATAGTTATCTAAATCTTTCCTATCAATAATCTAATCGAATCGCAGTATCTGCGAGCACGAGGATATCGATGGACAAAAGTACAGGAACTTATCATCCTCTGACTGGGCTCTCTTCCTAGTGTGGCACGAACAATTACTGCACAGACACGAAATATTGCAAAAGAATCAGGGATTAGACATAGAAGTATGAATCCAACACAGATATCGAAAGGAAGATTAATTCCATCGGGTACTTTTGCCAGGAACTCTTACGGTTCACGGTTAACACTCTGAGAGAAATGACACGGCGCCGACCTCAAAGTCACATCGATGGAATGAGGAACGTGTGGATCTTGAAGCCAGGTGACAAGAGTTTAGGAAGAGGTATACTTTTGAAAAGTTCACTGAAAGGTATCCTGAGCAAAATACATCAGACCACGAAGGAATGTATGCAATACGTCATACAGAAATACATAGGTATACCTTAAAGAAACTCATCGTTTTTACGGAATGTTTAACTTTGAAACTGTTTCCAGAACGACCTCTGTTAGTTCATAAAACTAAAGTGGATGTTAGACAGTGGTTCTTGATCACCAGCACGCAACCCCTTATCGTTTGGATGTACAAGTGCTTTTCAAGATCTTTTTCTCGTTCTCCTGTACCTGCATGTTTAACGTTTCTTTACTGAATCACTTATTTTCAAGGGATATTCTACTTCGTTTCGCATCGAAAGATTTTACGCTCAAGAGCTTTCACGAATCGATTCATCTGTGCAATACAACCGTGCAACTGAAGTACAGGAAAACAGTGAAACAGTACTCACAGATACCTAGCGAACTTCACTGGAATCTTCAGAAATTCAAGGAATATCTAAAGTATGAAGTTAATTCCACTTTTACAGCGAGTCTTCATTATTCTGCCGTGTTCTTTCTCAGAACGACCAATCGGGAATCGGCATGGGAGAGGGTCATCGAGCCGGGTATAAAGCAGAATTTAATAGGTGCACTCCTGGCATCTCAAGAAAACATGGTCAATCGCAAGAACAGTTTTCAATTGTACGGTGCTGATTTTTTAATAATGGATGACCTGTCGGTCTGGTTGATCGAAATCAATACGAACCCCCGCCTACACCCGCCAAGTAGCTCGGTCACGGAAAAACTTTACCCGGAAGTGATAGAGGATACCATGAAAGGTAAGGATTTCAATTCCTTCTGATATTGCCACGAGTCTGACTCGTGATACAAATTACGGGACAATCGTGAAAACAGTAATTTAATGTTTAAATATTTTTGCAAAATAATATTGCAAAAAAATATATTTTACTTTATTCGTGAAAGTCTCGGTTCGCGATCAACTGCGCTGTGACGACATTCAAAGGGTTAATATAAAAAAAAAACTTAACGACTAATTGTACGTACTTGAAAGTGATTCTAGATCGACGTAAAAATAAGAAGGCTACTCGTGGTAAATTCGAATGTATTTTCAAGCAACGAAATCCATTTCATGGACACGCTTTTGGGAAAGCTGCGAGCCTTGGAATCCGAGGCAAGGCTTTATTTTCAACTCAAGGTTCGCTTCGAAAATAGGCTGATAAACTACACGATATAGTGCCCACACTTACAGTAATACCACGTAGAAAGTAAGATAACGAATGTAATAAAAACATGTTTATTTTACAAGTAACAATGTTGCGGGTATACAATCCTATATAAACAGATGTTTTGCTTTTCTCGTTATATTAATACACATCTATACACGACTGCGTACAAGACATACTCGTTCACGGTTCCATTCATACGCTTTTACACGTACAAAATGATCCATTCAACGTGTCGTTTGTCTTTTTTTTCTTTAAACCGATATTGTTTTTTGCATTGATTTCAATTAAAAACGAACAGTTTGTCTGGTTTTTATCTGAACGAATTCTGTAACAAAATCTAGATGTATGAACGACCCATAACAACTTTCGTTTAATATACTAAAAACAGGAAGGAAAAACAAAGAAAAATAGAGTAAGTCTTCTTTTTTACTATTGCCTCGAAACTGGTGTTACAGATACACATAATTATCTATTCTCGTAGAAAATTCTTTTATGCGATTGCGTTTTATTACAAAATCTACTTGGTCGTGTTAATAATATGACCGTCTCAAAGTTACCAACTGCCATCGACCTCAAAATGCGAATACCTTTAATACGATTCGTGATTCATTAATATATCTAACTGAAATAAAATTATTTTCTGTATAGTATAATTACAGAGAAACGGTAGTATTGTATCAATTGCATCTGCAATTTGTAAAACATACCTAACTAGACTAGACCACACTTTCTGCCAGAAACAGATCAAGCGAACCTTCATCGAATGTTTCTATTGCGTTAGACGTAAAAAAAAAAGAGAGAATTTACAACATATGTCAGGATAAATACTGATACTATTTATGTCTCTGGATAAGAAGGTGCTTGTCTGTATTTTAGCAGGGGTGTCGGTCTCTCGAACAAGGTTCAGATCCCATCTGTATCGAACCTCGAAATCTGGCAAAACACAGAATTAATTATTCAATTTTGACGTACCATGCTCCGCTTCGACCAATAATTACGCTGACTTCTTGTCAGCGAAGCACGGTATATCGATCATCATAATCAAATAAAAGAATTCAAACATTGCCAGATTTCGATGATCGTTTGATATACATTCGGGTGAGCTTTGGATCTTGTTGCTGCATTCATTTATGTACTTTTACGTACGCGCAGCTTTTATGATTGTTCCATTGGAACACAAAGGATTCCAAATATCGACAAGTTGTATAAAAATCACATGTAAAACTGCACGAAATGATACAGACTCACGTAACTGGCTTTAGGGTAAAGGACAATTTAGGCCTCGAGTTGTTCTTCCCAAGGATTTTCTTTTGTTCCTCTTTAACACGTTTCTCATGTTCTTTTCTCATTCTCTGCCTCTCCTCTTCCATCAAACGTTGCTGTTCGACCATGGCCAATCTTTCCTCAGCCTAACGAAAAGAAAAGTTTGTTCATCTCGTCCAATATTGTTCGTATACGATTCCGTTGGTCGACCTACCAGTTTCTTCTGAGCTTCTTCTATTTTTCTGTTGTTTTCCTCCATGATCCTCTCTAGTTCCTCTCGCTTCTTCCGCTCTTCCTCCTACAACGACAATGGGATCTATTTACACGAAGCAATGATGATGTCGCTCACCAGTTTGTTGTTACACTGTTCATGTCCAAAATCATAGTGCCGCTATTGTCAACAGCCTAGTGTGTTATACATCCTAAGAACCTTCTCTCACGTGGGAAAGATTCATGTCGGGAATTAACGTGATAATTTTCAAGGTCGAGTTTGAATGAATTAAAAGGATGGCTTGTTCAGCAAAAGCAACAGAGGACGCATGTAAACCCATTATTCCTTCTCGTTTGGATCAAACGAGCTCCTCTCTTTGTTTTCCAGCGAATGCTGTTTTATAGTCTGATTCCCCAGATGGAAATACGACGACTTAGGATGCCACTTGAAAGTGAAAAAACGTGAATTATGATTCTGAATCAGTCCACTGTGCATGCAAAAAAAAAAAAAAAATTATAAAAAAATAAAATAAAAGGTAATTGGACGGAAAACTATAACTCTTCTTTTACAAACGCGAAACACGTCAAGTGACTCTGTTAAGTGCAGGATAAACTCTAAATGCAAAAGGTGTAAATACTTGACTGAAATTAAGAAAGTAAAACAAATATGTATCTACATGGTACTCTAATTCTTTTCGCAAAACAAGAAGGATCTATAATTATTATTCACGTAATTTCGATTTATTGATTCGCTTTAACAGATAAACATAAAACAAAAAAAAAAAAAGGAAAATATTTACGAACGAGTGGTGCCATCCGCCCCGACCTGTCGACGAAATGCGTTGTGTCCCAGGTATAAATATTTAGCAAATCTAAAATAATCCCTAGTATTGTCTTTTTCCGATACACAGTGTTTGAAACAAAGAATGATGATAATAATAATATTGGTATAAAATGAATTATGAATATATAAATTGGATAATACCTGAATGAAGCTCACGCCAGCACGTAGGGGATGCCTTCTTCATCGACAATCACTCAGCAGTGAGTAAAAAACCGGCATCTTCTGTTGGTAGTCAGTAAGGAAGGTGACCTATATATTGCTAGGTCGTGCTTTGTTGCTATGGGATTCTAATTCTGCCCTTTAAGGTCTACACGTCACCCTTTCTAATTAATTTTCGCCCAAACTTGTTGTTCACATATTCAGTGCAAACTCAATGTGCAAAGCAATAAGGATAAAAGTATGGTCAACTTTGTAATTAGGGTCGCTGTCCATTTGACTGGAACGTGCTAATTTCCCGAGGGTGATAATAAGTAATTGTGCTTATACACAAAAGACACTTGTAGAAGATAGTTCCTACTCGTACTTGAAGAAAAACGAAACATGTACATATAAAAAAAAAAAAAGAAAGAAAATTTCAAAGGTACGTATCCAAATATTTAATTTGAGACATAGCCAAATAACAGGACCCCTTTTCTTGTAACTCATTTTAATGTTGTTACATCAAATTGAATAAAGCTGTTATTAGAGCTGAGAATATGAAGTTACGGGACAAAATAAATGTTTATTATTATTAAAACTATTAATCCTATTATACCTCTTCAAAAACATCTTCATCTTGTAAAATTAACTTTATTCAGCTACTCATTTGCCTGGTAATATTTTGTAATCGTTAAAAGAATGAAAAATAAAATATTTATACTTGAAAAAATAGCATCTTCCACTATTAACGCTACTAGTGCACGATTAAAATTAAAATTAAGAAAATTGTGCGAACCTTTAAACCTAAAATTTAACAAGAATTCACGTAAAAAAATTCGATAACTCTATAAATCTATCGTTTCACTGACAGCAGAAAACTGTTCAGGGAAAAATATCATTTTCCTATAGTTTAATAGAAAAATAACTTTATTTCAAATTAGCGATTGTTTTTTTTTTTCTTCTTAGCAAGTTACAAAGTTTGGGATCACTAACTTTAATTATTCAGATGCTTGTTTCTCTACTCTTTAAAGACTGAACGATACGATTATGTGGACATTCACATACGCGGATATAAACTAGACTGATAAATAATTAGGTCTGCTGGATTGACAGGTACACCGATTGCAAAAAATTGCAAACAAGAACCCAGCTGGTGCGTTCGAACGCAATTTTTTTCAATCGTGAAATACGACTGGCAATCGTAAAATATCGTGTGATGAAAGGTATTAATGTTGTACAAATATATAAGTATATACATGGTATAAATACAATATTCTGTTCATAAATAATCGATACATGCGCCTATGATAGCAAAATTTGTCTCACAAAAGAAATTATTCATTCCCAACAACGCGACCTCAGTGGATGTTGGGAAGTCGAAGCACTGTGGCTTTTCAGTAACATTTTTGTTATAGTTATCAACCACAATGCTTCAAGCCCAAACGCTGTGATCGCGAAATACGCGCTTATACATAACACTACAATCACACATGTTAGTTGTCATAATATGTATGTCCAACTAATAATACTTAAATAAGTTCTGGAATGTCCAATTAGAATTTTCTAAATTTTTCATGTGTGTACACACAAACATACAATGTCCTAGACTTTGTTCATAATTTTTAAAAACACTTGAATTAAGGTGTACCTTACCAGTCAAGCTACTAAATTAATTACAAAATGTAATTTTTTCTGTACTATATTCAATTCATATTATATAACTTTACTTCCACCAAAATAGATTGCTTATTTACATATAAAAATAATGCAAGAATAGAGCACCAGACTTCTGTCCTATTGATCATAACAGCGCTTGGGCTAACACTGGCCTATGTTTCTCTGGATTGGTCTTACCTCTCTTCGTTTCTCCTCCTCACGAAGCTTTGCTTGTCTCCATTCCATTTCCTCCATCATTTGACGCTCCATAGCCCTTTTAGCTTCTTCTACCCTCCTTTGTACTTCAGCTTCTATCTCTTCCTTACGTTTTTCTAACTCTTCCTCCACCCTCTTCTGTACAAGCTCTTCAATACGTTTGGCAGCCTCTTCTTCAACCATTTTTTGCTCCACTTCACGTTGCCTTCTGTAATCATATAAATGTTTTGTTGTTCTAATGCTACAGGAGTAGCAAACAGGATTTATCTGAACGGTTTATGAACACAATCGTGTAAAATATTGATTTGTTATAAGTACAAATGAATTATTTAAGAGTCTTTAGGTCAATTATAATAGAATGAAACCACCACCATGAAATAGTTATACAATCTTACCCAACTGCACTCGTGGTGAAGATTTTGTTCGATAATTCTTTCTTTTTCCTGACAACATAATTACAAAAAAAAACGTATACCAATGTAACCAAAGCATGTGAAATAATAAATTACATTACTCAATTAAGTAAGTCAATATTCATAAATTTCTTTATTTTAATACAAAACATATCGTAAGCTATAAGAGGGAAAGAATACACTAACTAAATATACCAGGTGCTTTAATCTAATCCTTTATTTAAATCACAGAAAATGCAACACAAAAGTATTTCTGATATAAATGTTTAACAAATGTCAATGAATCCCAAACAGATAAGTGTTTTATTAATTACCTTTGTCGTTCCATTTCTGCCAATCTCTCTACTTCATCCATTTTACGATCCCTGTCTCTATAAGAACGTTTTTTATGACTGACAATGTGTACATCATCTGAAACATCTGATCCCGAACTAGAAGACGCAGAGTGCGATCGCTTCCTATAGAAACAGAAACAGTTAGGTTGTATCTAATTGAGAATAGTGGTTTATTAATAGAAAATACGGCGTACTAAGATAGATATAACGATGCAAGTCGTGACTTCTAAACACACATAATATGTATACTAAAGCATAAAAAAAACGCTCCCCTATTGAGCGCATGGCAAAATGGCGGAAAACTCAGCTGAACGAAATAATTCTAATATACACATTCGAGAGCAAAATAGCATGAATTACCTTGACTTTGAACTACGCTCTTTTGGTTTATCAGAGTACTTGTTATTCGAGTGTTTTTCTCGTGACTTTGAGCGTTTTCTCGAATGCTTACTCTTATGACGCCGCCTACTAGGAGATTTTGTCCTAGATCTCGAACGGCCCATTTTAATGAGTTCTACCGTTATTTTAAATGAATCACACGCGAAATGGAGACAATATTACGAATGTAAGAAGTGACTTTGCATAAATATGACTGAACACTAACCGAACACTGAGATACAATAGTAAACTGAACGCTTCAACACGTATACTGCAGCACTGACTTATACCGCAGCTGCGACGGCCATTTTTTAGTTAGTATTCAAGATGGCGTGCGTGTTCGAAGTGCTTTTGTTTGTGAGGAACAATTCTTACAGAAAACTGCAGGAAAATTACAGGTATCTTTTATAAAAAATCTTCTATTCTGTTAATAAAAATGCTCTTTCCACTGTTACAAACGTTTACTTATCAGTCGTTTAACTTAGCGAAGTATTTTGCTCGCTAAAGTTTCACTTTCAAATCTTACGGTAAAATTGCTTCATTTCGTATTCGGCCAATCAGAAAACAATATCAGGAGCGTACAATACTTTTTATGTTTCAATCATTATTACATTTACTATCGAGTAAAATGTTTAAAATTTACTTTTTCATATGTTTCAGAAACGAATAATCTTTGCAAAGAGGAGCAAAGGAACATGCATTAACCATAACCTCAATTGGAATGAAAAGTTGAAGGGTACGCAGTATCGAAGAAGGAACGAAATGAAAAATAAGGATGTGGTACGAGTATAGAATAAACGAGCCTGGAAAGTGGTTGCGTCGCGTGTGTTCCGAAAAACCGCGGTCGTCTGTGGCAGTGGCACCCTTTCACAGCTGTATAGGCGTCGCGCGCATCTCATTCGACTCGTTCCGCGACAGCAGAAATCAAGATGGCGCTCCTCTGTTTGCGGATAGTTCTGCGACGGATATAAATACGTGAAAAAAACAGTGCGAGAAACGGTTACGGGCAATTGAGTAGGTCGTGGCGATCGGTATACGCTAATCGTAGAGTGTTGGTCGGCTGGTAACGCGTCGCGATAACTGTAAAGCACGATAGCCGGTTAAGCCGCTGCGGTATTTCGAACGTCGGCGAAGGTGCTGTCGGTGCCCACCTGAGGAATGCCAGATTATCCTCGCTACGGCAACTCGCTCGGCAGGGGGATGCTAATCGCGTGAGGGATCGCGTGCAAGTTGATCGAAAGTGTTCTCGTTGGTGATCCCCCGCCAAGGTGTACGGTCGTTTTCTTCCGTGACGTATGTGTGTCGCGGAGGGTTGCGAGACAGGTCGGTCGCGAGTGTCGTCGTCGTCGTCGTCGTCGTCGCCGTCGTCGCTGTCGTCGTGGTCGGGTCCGTGTTCGTGTTCGTGCTTGGTGTGCCGCGAGTGGCGTTTTTCGCGGCTTCGATGCGCTCTCGTCCTCCCCTGGATTTCTGGACAGGCGAGATCAGCTGCTGCTGGAACAACTAGTCCGGCGGCTCCGGGAGACGATACCCTTCGACAGGAGCGGTGGGGCAAGGAGGTGCCGGAAGCAGCCGCGAGTCCGGAAGCATAACGAAGAAGATGGCCTTCAACGAGGTAAGTTTCATTACTGTACCGCTATATCTGCTATCTGCTATCCCGTTCGGACGTTCGATCCCGTGGGCTGACCTCGCGACCCCCAAACGCCAATTCTAACCTAACCTCCGTTCCTGCGCACAGCTGGCATGTTATCAACTCTCCCTCCTCTCTCCCCTCCTCTTGCATCTCTTCATTCTCATCCTTTCTTTCTCTGTCTCTCCTACAAACGCGTATTTCTCTCCTCTCCTTCCACTCGAGGCGCATCGTGCTCTTTTATCGTTGCCCGTACCATCGAACGAGACACGAGACGCCTCGAAATGGAGCAATCCAGTTATCCTTCGTATGACACTTACGTTGCCATTGAACGGGCCTGCATTTTTTACGCGACACAACTCTGACGTGTACGCTTTATCTTTACCGATAATTTACTATCGCGTTCGCACCGCGACATTTCCGTAATCGGTGCACACATCGATCCGTTCTCGTTCGACGCTGTTCTTGCGTGCCTTTAAGAATAACCTATACTCCGGTTTATTTGCGTTCGCTGCAGCACGCTTTACGCGCGTTCCACCAGCCTTACATCCGTGATTCGAAATCATTTTTCCAAGAACTCGAACCGTAGCGAAAAATCATTGTGTTTATCCTCGCAATGAATGATGTTTACAATCGTCGCAAGGTGCTTTTAGTTTGCGCCGATACATCGCGTACATAGGAACGATCGTTCTCGCGTTTCGTTCAGGGAAACAGTGACACGTGTCCCCTCACGGGGGATTACGCTTACAGCACGATTTTGTAAACAATTACGTCAAGGCGAAGCGGGGCAACCGAGGTAAGGATTCGTGTGTACGTGTGCACCGTGACTATCGCTGATTGCCCGGTTCTGTAACGTTTCCTCGTAACGATATTGCGTAACCATATCCCATAAAGACACACGAGATATCGCGTTTCCACGCTACGGACGAGAAGGAAAATGAAAAAATCGTTTCAATGTACCCCATTCAGGTGTGTAAGACGATACACCAGAAATGGAGCGCATTTCTAATACCGCCTTGAACGTACACGATTTCGCTGGTTAGAAGGAAAAAACCTCGGTGTTGTAACCGGTATTAAATATATGGTAAATAAGGCGGTATCTAATCGGTAACTCCGACGAATAGTTTAAGGCTGAAGATTATCTTTCGCGAACTTATCGTCGTCGATGACGCACGTTGCTCGCTCGTTGCAACCGCGCACTCTGCCTTACCCTTTCGTCGCAATCGTCTATTTTATTTCTGCCGACTGTTTATTCACCGAAATAAAAAGATCGCTGGCCGGTAATTAATACACCGCGATCAGATTTCCATCGATGTGCAGTCGTATCGCGTGACACGATTCATGATTTTTACGCTGCAGTTGTAATACACGGTGTCCCGCGATATAAGGGAATCGAATTTGAGATTAAACGTCGGATTTAAGAAAACGATAGTTTTTCTCGCGCCCGAGTTAACTCGCGAGACCTGCAGTTTTGCCAAATATACTCGTTAGACCCGAAAAAGGTTACCACCGTCGTAAATTTTGACTAAAAGCTTATTTTTTTATAACCGAGATAACTCGGTTAAGCGAAGTAGGTGCAATTACAGTCTTTTTAGCATAAAACATTTTTTTCAGTATTTTAAGGAAATAGAGAATTAAAAAAATTGGTGAAAAACCTTTTTAATTGGTGCGTGAAGGGATTAAAAGGGGACAGTTAAAAGCCTAATCGTTGTTATTCAGTCGCGGCTCTTCGAAACGAACAAGTACGGAGACGAGCATTTGTATACTTTGCCTGTGGCACCGAAGTACGCTACTACGGCGTTGCGTGTGTACGCTTACGTATACGGGCGCAGGCTTACCACACGTAGATCATTCATTCGTTCGACGCGCGTCCTTTAAACGAGAAATTAATGAAAGGACACGACGATGTTTGCCATTAATCTTCATACGCTACGATAGCTATTGTTTGTTACAATTCTGAAACATTATCTCGCGATTCCCGGTTTATCGCGTTGAGTGACGCGAGGGTCACTGGTGAGTGATATCGGTAAAAGCATTCGAGTTAAATAAATGGTAATAACGTAAGATGACTAATGCATCGTTGTAGCGGGTTAATCGTTACGCTACTTTTCTTTTATCGTTCCGGCTCGTTTAAACGCGGAAGATTCGTGGTCGTCTGATTAAAAATTGAAAGCAAGCCAGGTTGCACCTGTGATCCAGGGAACGAAGGGACGTCAAGCGAAGTGTTAACGTCCGTACACAAAAAAAAAAAAGAGGAAGGAGTAAAAGCGAGGTAGCCCTTTACGAACAAAGCCACCTGCTACCCGGGGTCATATCGATCGAGATGGAATATGTACGAGTAGCCAGGGCGGGATTCCATCGTCCTTCTCCCTTCTATTTCACCCACTCGTTCATCCACCATCGTACGGCTTCTTTCTCCCCGGTATCGAGTCTTCGGGTTCTTTACGTTTCCGCGTTAACGCGTACATCGTTCGGCGAAGAGGTCCCCTAATCTTCGAATCCTTGGCTATCGAGTTGCCAAAACCAGTGTTATATCCTCTTCTTTATTTCCATTTGAACTTACGGTGAAATTAGGCTCGTTGAATGTCGCTCCATTCAACAGTAGTTTCCTCTATGAAACACTTCCCACGGAAAAGCAATTAATACTTATGGGAAAACAGCCGTGTGTTTACAGGGAAATCTCATTGCCTAGCTAGCTATTAGGGAAACGAGAAACCCGTTGCTCGCGATACGATAGCGCCACATGCGTATACGAACGCATCGCTATCAGCCTTGTTATTCTTATCGTAGACCGGAAAGGCTAGCTCTCGCCTCGAATAACGTATACGGTTATCATCGCTTTGTTTCCCGTTGATTTCATCAACGCGAAAACATTCGGATCCGTACCTGGCTCCATATTGATGTACCGTTAATACGTGGGCGATCGGACGATAAACTTTCGATGATCGCACTTTTCTCCGTTGCTTTGTGATCGATCGCGTGGGTGGAAATCAGGTTACATTAAGCATCATCGCGCATGGATCGCGAATCTGTCTTGATATTATTCGAGAGGCGATATGGCGTACGATTTTCGTATCGGAGCATTCACTCTTCGAGGACGACTCGGTAGAGAAAGGATTTACGAACGGATCCGTGGGTGTCAAGGGTAAGAAAGGCCACACGAACGATTTGTCAGCCGCGGTTATAGGAAAAGTTGCGTTCATCGCTTGAACACTTGTGAAATTCATTTCTATAATAGAGATATCAGGCTGATAGTCGTTGGTAGGTATCGTTTAGGTTGCACAATAGACATTGTTTGATCGTGGCCTCGATGCGGAATGGCTGCTTATCTGTTTCTCGCCGCAGCGCGTTAAGTAGCCGCGGACAAACGCGTGTTAGATGCACCGACGTTCGAACCGAAACCGTGGGCGAACACAGCATAGACAACATAGAGGAATTGAACTATGGAAATCGACAAAGGCGGGTACATCCGTGATTAAAGCCGACGCTTGTCCGTGGACAATGCGGCATTGTGCTCTGTTTCCAGGTGTAATCTTTGCTTCCGGGTAAATTAAAATCCGTCCCTGCAGAGAACAAACGTATTTTTTTTTTCTTTTTTTTTTCCTTGCTTCGATACATTCAAACGATCAGAGAAACAAGGAGGAAAAAGATTCGAACGATCGTCGAGGAAAAATATTATCGGAGTCGTGAGAATTGAAATTTATCGAGGTCCGTTCGCGGTACCTCTGGCGAATCAAAATCGTTGATCATAAAGGTACCGAGGGAAGGATACGATGAGGTAGCGGGTTTACAAGTCTTGCTCTTCGTACTTGGCCGTTGTCCATTTTATTTTCGATAAAATATGCGTCGCTGGGAAGAAAGGAGTAACGTAGCTCGTGGCGCGGGAATACGCGTTGGGAAAGGCCGTTAAAAATTGGCACCGCTGCCAAACCGAAAGCAGTCGTAATCGCTGAATAATGGCGATTCCATTATTCTGGCTGGAACGATAAAACATCGGACGGGCCTGGTCTTTGCCGTGGAAATATTTATACGCTTGATACAGGGTAGAAATCCCGGTGCTTGTCTTTCGAATAATTTACAAACGAGGAATAATGTAAGCGGACCGACCGGGTTGTTCTAACAACAAGTGTTACCATAATTCCCAGTCCGCGTGGGTAATCTCGCCGCTAGAAACATACAACGGTGCTTTAATTATCCGTATTCTGGCCGCGTAGCTCGCAGACGACGGAAGCTTTGTTCCAACGTCCCTGAAAGGTATCGTCGATTTCGCGGCGGTTAGAAGTCGCTGGCACCCTGAACACCGTTTCGTCGACCCTTTCCTCCCCTAGGTATCGTATTTTCCGTGGAAAGTTTCGCGGATTGGAACAAGGCGCGCGGGAATTTATCGCGACGCTGCATTCGCTGGGTTTCGTTCGACCGTAAACGTCGGCAGCGTGTTACCCCCTCGTAAACCGGGTAATAGCTTCGTGCTCGTCCACCCTTTCGTACACGTATCGCGTCGGCGTACGTGTCCTCAACCTCTGGTCTTCGAGCTTGTACAGGTGTATTTACATGCGTGCACCCCTCGGCTCGCACCGGTGCACCCATGTACGTACCTGGCTTACGAGCTCGCCTCTTCTTCAGCTCGCACGTGTTCCTCAGCACCGCATAGGTGATAACACGTCGGCTCCGTGTGCTTAACGGAAGCTCGTATACACCACGTTTCAAAAGCGAAACTTTCCCAGAAGATTCTAATTAAGTATTACGGGACGGTCTCGCGATGATTCTCCTCGGACTGAAATCCAACCTTAACTCGCGTACTTTGGTAATTGTTGAGCTTCTTCGAGACTCCGGAACTCCGCTGCACGCTTGCAACCCACTTTTGTCGCAAACAGGAAATAACTACAAGCTCTGTTCGTTGCTGGGAATATTTTTCTTTGTATTTGTTGGTTATGAAAAGTATTCAAATCGGTCAGTATTTTATTACCAAAATGGTCAGTATAAAA